TTGCTATTGTACCTGCATCCTGCCCTGACATCTGCCAACCTGCTTCCTCATTCTGTCCTGTCCACCCTGCTCCTGTGACCCCTGTGTGTGGCAAACTTGAGGGCTTCATCCTAATAACAGCTAGCAGCTATATACAGTCATGGCCAAAAATATTGGCACCCCCTGAATTTCTGTCAGATAATGCACCACCTCACCCACTAAATTGTTGCAATTACAAATGTTTAGGCATTCTCATGTTTATTTATTTTGTTTGTATTGGTATGACACAAAAAAGTGGAGAAACAAAAAGTCAAATCTGACACATTCCATGCAAAACCCCAAAAATGGACTGGACAAAATTATTGGCACCATCAATTTATTATTTGGTAGCACACCACTTGGAAAAAATAACTGAAATCAACTGCTTTCTGTAACCATCAATGAGTTTCTTACACCTCCCTACTGGAATTTTGGACCACTTTTCTTGTGTCTAATCCAGTCCATGTTTGGCGTTTTGCATGGAATGTGTCAATTTGGCTTTTTGTTTCTCCACTTTTTTGTGTCATACCAATACGAACAAAAGAAATAAACATGAGAATGCCTAAACATTTGCAATTGCAATAATTTTCTGGGTGAAGTGGTGCCGAAATGCAATGGTGCCAATATTTCTTTGACTCTACTCCTTGGGAGAGCCTGCGTCACATGTCAGGGGTGTTATCCATAAGAGGGTCTTTCTGCAGGACAGTCCCAAAAGTTACAAATCTTTCTTTGCCAATATACAGACAAAACAACAGGGGCATTAACTATATCTCCTGAGGTAATTCTCAGGCACCATATTATAAAATATTTTTTTTTCTCTCAAAGAATCCTTTATAAAAGTTAGACCAAAATCAGTATAAAAACATCAATTGAAGAGCTGGATTCATCAACAAGACCTTAGAGAACAATATAGAGTAAATACAAAAATGAGAACCAAATTCTAATCATTTCATGGTTAGTCATCTGATTTTTCAGGACTATTTTTGGTCTCACACATTTTGTTACAGTCATAATATACAGCACAAAATAAAGTACACAGAAACTGCAATAATGTTTATGGAGGTCCACTGTGGAAAAAGTAGTGTAAAAGCAAATCCTTTTTATAGGATAAGATAAAGGACGTGTGTAAAAAAAAAGATGGGGGAATGAGGGAGAAGAGGGGGAAAGGAGGGAGGGGGGGGGAAAGAAATGAGGAAAAGGGAAAGGGATTGGGGGAATGGGAAGAAGGAAGCAAAGAAAAAAGGGAGGGGAAAGAGGGGAGAGGAAATATTTGAATATTTGTGGGTTGGACCTTGCAAAGTATGAATTACTACCTGGATTTTCATTATCATAATATTTTTTCCTACTCCTATCCTGTGAATCAATGGTATATGCTAATGTTACACATGTTGATATATATATATATATATATATATATACTGTAAAATACCGTATTGTCTCGATATTTTGTTAACTTGTATTGATGAGAAAAGTCCAAAATAGAAAGTCCTTCCAGCTCTTGCATAAACTTAAAAAATGATTTAATAATAATATTACATAAAATTAGAAATAAAATATTGGAATACAGAATGTTTAGATAATGTGCAAAAAATATAGTGATGTTCTCGAGATAAAAATTGTATGTAATTGTGTGTGTGTTTTGAATCTGTAGGCTCCCTTAGCCCAGCTTCTAAAAAGTGTGCAGCAAAAAGTCTTTGTTCTGCTCTATAAGGAGCAATTCAGCCCCCACCTTCTCCTAAAAGTGGGCTGGTTTTTTTTTCTGTCTCTTGTAGTCCTACAATGATATTTGGCAACAGATGTATAGAACAAACCTTCAGTCTTCTCCCCTCCCGTAGAAGAGAGTCTGAAACGTAATCCTTGGAACCTCTAGTCAAAACTTCACTGACATTCCATCAATCAGGAGGGATAATGTGTTACAAATATATACAAAATGTATATATATAATCTCCCAAAAGTAATCTTAATATAAAGTTATATCATATATAAATATCTTAATCAATAAATATTGCAGTATACATTTTGTAAGCTTAACATGTATGAAAATAGATTCTTAAAATTGTCCTATTAGTGAAACTTTGGCTCCTACCCACAGAAATTGGGGGGAGATGGGGGAAGGAAAGCTAGCTAAACAATTCATGACTAATTACTAACACATGTTGCTTGAATGTAGAGAAAAAAACGAGATATATGTATATTCACATAGACTATAAAAAGTCTATCTTACTTTTCCCAATCTAGAACAAATAGAAATATAACAACTCAATTATTCTATTAAGATCCAACACATTCATACATATGTTAGTACCGTTAATAAGCAGATATTAGGTTAAGGTAAAAAGCTTCTGACATTTCCTCTCAAAATGATTGATTTTATCAAATCTTAATCATTTTTCTTATCCTAATCCATTTATACACATTCTCGTCACTTTTGTATCCATCCATACGTTTTTAGATCTTAAGATAATTGATCTCAACATATTTTCAACTTGATTCTATAATGGGAAAATGATATTTGATAAACTTTTGTTTTTTGTATCACATAAAAATATTTTTACCCTTATATTTTACCTTTCACTAAATAATTATCCCCTTAATAAATGTATAACAGTAACATTATAGTACAATACTTTAAAGTATGTATGTCACTTAAAAAATAGATGTTTCATATTTTCCCTCCAAATGTGTGTAGCACAGTTCTATAATCCATACATCTTTTCAAATTACCTTAACATAGATGAAACATAACAATATGTTCCCTCACTTCAATTCATTCATGTATATCAAATGATTTTTTTTTTAAAAAAAAAACATACATATAACAATGTAAAGCCTGTCTCAGTTTTTCCTATATGTACCTTAGGAAAACTTATCTCTAGCTTAATTAACAACAGATGTTCTGACTAACTAGAGTGACTCTGTTGTAAAATGGTTTAACCCTTCAACTCTGAAAGTACATAGTGTGTGATTGTAAATGTTCATGTGAAAACTGATCTCATCTTGATATGGTAAACATATCAGTCAAAATAAAATGTACACACAAAAAAATAATATATCTGACAAATGAATTATTTCATCAGTAGTCAAAAGTCAATTGTGTTTATAAGTTCTTTCCTCTATGAGATGCCTTGAGAATTCTTGTCTTCTTCTTCTAGTACTCTGTAAAGTTAGAATAACTTTATTGAACATAAAAAGACAACAAAAACTATGATGAGTGAAATTCTTGTTGCAAAGCTTCTTCCAGAATAGATTTCCTTCTTGGAAAATGTACGATCATCTGGAAGGTTTAGAAATATTTCAGTTTTCTTCTAGCAGTTACTCTTAGGTCATTTCCTGTAACAGAAATGCAGTATCATTATTTTGGCATTGATAATTTTACATTGATTAATCCTCTTACATTTATCTATTAATATTACGCAAATCGCAAACATTTCTGTCATGACATGGAAGACATATTTTGATTATAACATTTCTTATTGACTTGCATTGTTCTATTTTTTCCTAAAATGGCTTAAATTCTTCTACAAGTTTCTGTGAATTTAGATATAACAGGACGCTACATCTCCTTTATTGGTCATGATTCAGAAACCTTGTTTTCAAAAACAAAGAAAGGTTTTGTATCAACCCAGAGATGACAAGGGATTATGCCTTTGTTCTTATCTCTATAAAATTGAAATATGCGTAACTGTTTTCTGTGTTGATGTTCTTATTCTAGTGTTAGACTGTTCTGCAGTAATACATACTGGTTCAAAACTTTTCTCAGTTCTTATGCTGAAAACATGAGGTAAAAACTTCTCACCTACAACTGTACAAACATGTGTTGGTATGTTTTCCTGAAAATGTCCTTCTGTTACATCTATCTGAATGCATTTGGATGAAAATGTTTTGTACCATTTTTTAGGATACTTTTCACGACTTTCTGTTGAACCATTTTCCTCTAGGAGACGTTTTAGTGATGAATCAGGTGTCTGTAATATGATCTTACTAGATCTCACAATGTTTTCAGTTACTTTGACTGCAAAGCAAACACTTAACAATTTTTTTCATATGTGCATCAAAGTTTTTCTCCATATTTGTCAAAGCTCTTGAGAAGAAAACCTATTTTTTCTGATTACCTTCTTTTAATTGAGACAAGGTTGCTGAGATTGCATTATTGGAACATTGGTTTCTAATACAAAAGGAATTTTACTACAAAACTCAACAGTATTTAATGTAGTAGCATTCTACAGATCCCTTTTCAACAGTTCAAAGGCTTTCTTGCTCAGTTTGATCCCATTGATCAAATACACCATCTTTTTGTCTCAAACGATCAAATAATGATCTAGACTTTGCTGCAAAATCGGGTATGAAATCTTTACAATGATTTACTTCACTCAAAAACTGATGCAAAGCCTTGCGATTTGTTGGAATTGGATAAGCAGAAATAGTTTAACTTTTTCTTGGATAACTGTCTCTGTCCATGACTAATTTGGCATATGAAGGAATTCCACCTGTCTTTTCATCAACTGAACTTTCTCTGTATTCAATTTCAGCCCTGCTGTTTGTAACAAAGTAAATATCTCAGACAAAAGAGTGATATGTTCAGTTATATTTTGTGTAGACAGAGAAGCTTGTCTACATGCTGGACAATACATTCTGGCCTAGAGAATTTAGATAATATTTTTCCCAAATACTCATGAACAATTCCATCACTCACATCCAAGCCTGGGACTAGCCTCGTGAATGTATACGTTTCTTTGCTGAAGCTAAAGGCAAGTTTATATTGACAACTCTTAGCTAATAGTACTGAAAAATGGCCATTGGCGATTTCCAAGTACAGAGAATATTTTGGCCTTGGCATCTAGGTGTGACATTATGTTAAAATCAGGAACAATAGATTTGTTATTTGTGATGCATTTATTCAATGTCCTGTAATCAACTGATAAAGAATATCAATTATCAGCTTTCTTGATAGGCTAAATACAATTATTCACCACTGATTGTGCTTTCTTTAAAATTTCTTCCTGTAAAAACTCCTGTATAATGGAAGAAATTGGATTGATTCTAATGGCAATTTGTATTGAGGTTGGGGCTTAGGGTCTCTACCTTCAATGTCAACTTCAAAATCTTTAAGCAAACCTGCATCATTTTTGCTTTGACTCCAAAGATCTTTATGTGATCTAACCAATTGTTCCAATTCAAGATTGGTTCCTGTATGTGGCCATTTATGATTTGAAGACATGTCAGCAATTGCTGTACAAATACTTCCAACATTACTGTACATGGAAGAATCAATTAACGTTGATTTGGGCCTAGATGGATCTCTCCATAACGTAGAAGTACATAAATCAATTATGAAATTGAGTTTACTAATCACATCAATACCAAGAATATTCTCTGTACCATGACAATACCAGATGTCAATGTCAGTTTTCAGAAATCCTGGAATCTCAAAAGTCACGTAAGAAACTTTCCTAGCAACTGAACTACATTTTCCACAAAAATCAAATAAATCGCATTTTGGAGAATTGGCATTTACAGGTAATTTATGTTTAGTTAAACTGAGTTCAGCTCCTGTATCTACTAAAAACTTTATGTTCCTGCCATTCAATACACCCTGTACATATGACCTTCCACTTTCATCCAATAAAATTGGAGCAACATATTCTAACAGTAATGGAGAAGAATCTCTATTTGATCCTGATTCTAATTTCGGAAATGGCAATAAACCATTCCTATTAATGACAACAGCACTGTTTACCATATTGTTTAAGCTGTTGTTGACCGTCAATGAACTGATCTCTTTGACTTCTGAGGCATAAGGCAACTCAGACAAACTATTGTTGGAACATGGAGGAGCAGATTGTTCAGACATTGTATTTTCATTTTCTAATTCCCAAATTTTTCTTTGTAAATCTAATTTATATTGAACACAATCTCTTTTCAAATGACCAAATCGTTTACAATAGAAACAAATGGTATTTCCTGTCTGCTCTGAAACTCTCGGTCTGCCTGTGACGTGTCCATCACCATAATTGAGTGTGGCCATGCACCTGGTCTCTCTCTGTTCTCCATTTTGAATAGCTACACTTTCCATCTTCTGATTGTTTAGTTTAATTTGTCTTCTAACTGTATCTATAACTTTGGCTGCTTGATCTAAATCATTTTTTCCAGCAGCAATAATAAGAGATGCTGGATCTAGATACTTACATTTTTTAACAAAAGCTTTTATCATAGCAGGAGTCTCATTTTCCAAATTAAATACCATTTTGTATACTTTGGAAAATGTATTTTTAAAATCAAAAGGATCATCATTGATCGAAGCTCCTAAGGAGTCTAAGATTTCCAGAGAAGGAGTTTCCTCTCCAGTTTTACATAGCAATAACTGACGCAATCGGTCTGAAGCATTGCTATGAATTTCCACATCATCCTCATTAATATATGGCGTCTTGGTTAATCGATGTGCCATAAAGTTGGGGAACCATAATCTGAAAAGAAAATGTCTTTGTTCCTTATTCAGACAAAGGTTATTGCACAAAATTTCAAAAACCTCTTTGTTATGAAAAGCATCCGCTTTCATATCATAGGCTGGCATATCCTTCAAAATTTTCATGAGCTGATCAAGGATCTTAAGATTAAGTTCTGTAGCTTTATCCCATAATTTTCTCTTAAGCTTCTCTTGCTTCATGATCCTGCAGATCATCTTCTATAGACTGGATGTCTGGTACAAAAGATGTTTGTCTCTCTGCCTTATTATTTACACAAATTCTTTTTATATTATTCTGTAGTTCAGATAGCTGAATGTCTTTTGTTTGAATTGTACTTTGCAGGTCAACTATTTGCTCAGTCAAAGTCTGGCAATTAGCACATACACTGTTATCTTGCTCTGACTTCATTACACAAGCAGCATCCCTAGGAACCTCACAAATCATGGCGTTAAAAACGTTAACTAACTTCATTACATTTCTAACTTGTTTGCTCAGTTTCTTAAAGGAAAACCTAGATTTTTTCTATCTTAATATTAGCTTGTAAGCATTCATTATACATGTACCGCCAAAGTTCATCATCTTTAACAAATTTAGACAGATTTTTGAATTCTAATTTACTCTCTCTAGATAATTCATCAATAAAATCCATTACTTACCAATTAAGAAAGTTTTTCTTCATGTAACGCGCCTTTTCTCTCTTGGCGGGAAATTACATCACCAAGCAACAGCGTTTTCTTGCATTTGCTTGAAATTCTCACCAATTCTGATTCTAGATTGATTTAGATTATGCTGAAGGGTCATCTGCTGAAGGCTTTTATTTTCTCCTAAAGCTTGACTTCATATTTTGCTGACCTTGCAGCCATCTTCCCTCTCATCAAGATGAAGGAGAAAAAAGTAAAAAATGATCGATATTCCGAAAAAATTGAACTGGCCTGACTCGCCAATGTAAAATACCGTATTGTCTCAATATTTTGTTAACTTGTATTGATGAGAAAAGTCCAAATTAGATAGTCCTTCCAGCTCTTGCATAAACTCAAAAAATGATTTAATAATAATATTACATGAAATTAGAAATAAAATATTTGAATACAGAATGTTTAGATAATGTCCAAAAAATATAGTTATGTTCTCGAGATAAAAATTGTATGTAATTGTGTGTGTGTTTTGAATCTGTAGGCTCCCTTAGCCCAGCTTCTAAAAAGTGTGCAGCAAAAAGTCTTTGTTCTGCTCTATAAGGAGCAATTCATCCCCCACCTTCTCCTAAAAGTAGGATGATTTTCCTTTCTGTCTCTTGTAGTCTTACAATGATATTTGGCAACAGATGTATAGAACAAACCTTCAGTCTCCTCCCCTCTCCTAGGAGAGAGTCTGAAATTTAATCCTTGGAACCTCTAGTCAAAACGTCACTGACATTCCATCAATCAGGAGGGATGGTGTGTTACAAATATATATACAAAATATACATATAATTTCCCAAAAGTAATCTTAATATAAAGTTATATCATAATAAGCAGATATTAGACATTAGGTTATGGAAAGCTTCTAACATATACTGTATATATATATATATATATATATATATATTTCAATGGACTTTATTTTGTACTGTATACTATGATTTGTCTCTTTTGATTTTGCCGTAGGCTGTAACTTAGGATGTGTGAGAGCTGAAAAAGTAGATGTCTAACTGCGAAGCGCATAGACTTTGGTTCTCATTTTTGTAGTTACTCTGGATTGTTCTCTAAGGTCTTGTTGATGAACCCCACTCTTCAATTACTGACTTTGGTCTAAGTTTTATAAAGAATTCTTTGAATTAAAAAAATTATATTATTTAATATGGTCTTTGTGATTTACCTCCGGAGATATAGTTAAAGTGAGTTGGTATATTTATGACTTGGGGATGATTGATTTTTTATAGCCAGGTCTATACCAACTTCCCACCTCTTGTCTGTATGTAACAGAAAGAGGGGAGACATCAAATGAGACACCCTATGTAGCATTGTAGCATTAGGCATTGAGTGTAACAGAGAGGTAGGAGTGCGATAGTGAGCCATAAGGCACGTCACAGAATAAAAGTCTGAATTACTGTGTGTAATAGAGTGATGTGAGATACTGTATAAAAAAGTGAGGTATGAGGATGAAGTCATGTGACAATGATGTAAGGCGTAGGTCGGAGAGAGGAATGTGGTGACGTCATTTCCGACACGAATGGCCGCAGTCATATTGGTACACTCACTACACCCATATCAGCACATGTGATTGATGCCTTGTTTGATCTGTTCCCATGTAAGTCTTGTCTTTGTCTTTACAATAAATTTGATTAATTTACAATATTACACTATGAAATCACTTTTTCTTGTCTCCCTGGGAGTGCTGTGAGCTGGCTGTTTTTTCTGGTCCAACGAACCCCTTGCAGGAATTCTCTGAGCTGGCTGATTTCCGTGTCCAAAGGAGAAAGATATATTACTACCACTGAACAGTATGGTTCACCTGTGAGGGGGATATCATCCCTACATCGTCCTTTGGGATTCCACTTAAAGGGCCCAGGCAGTGAGTGTCCTGAAAGCATTTTGGCCCCTTGGGGTCTGGGCGTGGAGGTGAGGAGGCATTTTAGCCGGTGTGGGATTCACTAATCATTTACCTATCCACATTGGGGTTTTTTTTGGTGTGTTTTTGTTGGACGTTTTTGCACATGGACTTTATGTCGCATTTATGATATTTTTTTTAGTCACGTATTTATTTCCTCATTGTGTTATTGTATTTTACGGTGCACAGTAATACATTAATTTGGTTTCACTGTGCGTTTGTATCACCATTTTCTGTTTTATACTAGTAGCACTCTATATATGTTTGCCACATTTATTTATGGTATTTATATGGTCACTTATTAGTCGTTTTATGTCACATGGTCTTTTGATGCACATTGTGTTATGACCCTTTAGTTGCATGGCCACATTTTTTGGCCTCACTGTGCATTGTTATTGTCATTCATCTGTGATAAGTGGTTTGTCCCATTTTAATATTTAAGCACTTCATTTTGTATTTTTCACATTTTGCTCCACTTTCTCATCAGTTGTATTCACATTATTTCATTTATGTTATGACAAACTCATATGTCCCACTATTACTGTGATTTAGTTAATATTTTATTTTTCCCTGATCATTTCCATGCGTTTTGCCCATGGTCACGGTTTATTGTCTGTTACACCTTTTGGTCCTCATTTTGGACCTTTATTATTTCACCTTTCCCTTCACTCCCATATTCCTTCCATTTACTGATTATGTTATGGTGTATTATCTATTGTCTTCTCATCTCATTATTTGTTTTGGAATGTCTGTGGCATTATTGTGATTAGCGCAACATCAATTTTCTGTTTGAGGTATGAGGAACTACTACATGTGATTCAGAAGATTGAAACACTGTGTATAATACAAAACGAATAAGGCACTATATGAAAAAAAATGTATGAGGTGCTGAGTGTAATGGGAACGTAATGCTGTACAGGTAATAGAGAGGTATGAGGCACTATGTATAGAAAAGAGGCATTGGGCACTGCGTGTATGATAGGCAGGATAGGCATGTAAAAAAGCGTCATTAGGATCTGTATCTCATACAGAGGGATGTTTCACTGTATATACTGTAATAGAAAGATATGGAGTGATGGGAGTCCTGCATGTAACAAAGTGACATGAGCCACTGTGTAATGGATACTGAGGAATGTGTGCCAGAAGTATAAGGCACTGCATGTAATAGAGAGGCATATGGCAGTATATGAAATAGAGATGCATGAGTCACTGAGTATACTAGAAAGGCATAAGGCACTGTTTGTAACCGAGAGACATGAAGCTCTACTTATCACAAGAAAAAGGTTCTTCATGTAATTGAAAGGTATAAGGCAATATGTGTAATAGAAAAGCAAGGAACGCTGTGTGGATTGATTGCATGTGCTGTGTCTGTGCCTGCCTCACTATTAAAACATTATTACTAATAGAAGAAACATAGCAAGAGATGATCCTACTGGGTCATCATTTTTGTCTTGAGCTTGATTTATCCCCTCTGACATTATAATAAAGAGGAATTGCTACAATCGGGTCCTAATCATCTAAAATGTTTTGTACATGCCTTTGACTTTGAGAAGCATGAAAGTGATTTCCACATAAAATATTTGTATATTAATGCTAATAAGCTTA